TTTGGCGATTTCTCAGATGGAGGAGGTGGAAGGAGGAGATTGGCCTGTAGGTATATACTCTGGTACTGGCAGACAGATAAACATGTTGTCTGACGGAGTGGGAGAAGCAGAGAGCAAGCGACTGGGAATGAAAAAGGACTGTACTCATTCAGCTCCCCTGTGTTTTTATTTCAAGGGGTTTGATCTGAGACTGTCAAACCCCCCCCGCACCCCCTCCGCCATTCCCCTCCAAGCTGTTGTTTCACACAAATCCCCTCCAGACGAAGACGGCCCATTTCTTTCAGCTCCTCAGGTTTTGGGTACGGTCTATTTTTTTTCCCTATTTCATATTTGTTTAAATTGCATGCCTCAGAATCCCAGAACAGGATTAACTCGGTAGGCTTGTTAAGAAAAAGATGAGACCAAGTTTCCACAAATCTGGCTGTGATCAAATGTTTTGATGGAAGGCTGATTGATCTGTCATTAACTGGAAAAAAAATAGTAAAAGACCCCAAACAGATAAATCTTGATATTTATTGCCCACAGAATGCTTGTTTTTTTTTTATTCCTTGTACTAAAAGGGAAAATCCTTAAAAGCATGTATGCATATATTTCTTTGACTTAAATTAGAGCTACTGCTTGCCAGACATTTCCCACTCGAGGATTCAGATCTCCGGATTATTTCTAGGGTTCTTCATCGAAGGCCGCACTCGCCTGAGGGTGGGGGGTGGTCTGTCAGGGAATAAGCCGATTGAAGAACTGATTGATTTCTAGAGCGAGTCTCTTCATAGGGTCACTTGATTAGCTTCTATTTTTGTTCACTGGGAAATCAACAAGCTTTTAGGCCTTTGAACATCAGGATAGAGATCAAATATGTTTCAAATACAAGTGAATTGGTTGCAGGTAATCAACCAAGAATCAAGAACAAAAAAATCTATTTTTTACACAACATGGGTAAAAGTATACAAAATTAAGTACAGACTACAACACTAATAAAATAAGTCTTTTTTTTTTTTGGTTATCAAGACTTATATATGTAACAGTATTCTGTGAATTATCTATGCAATTGGTAACATATTTTTCTACATGTGCCCCAAAGATGTCTTCTGTTTTGATATGTGTGGTAAAAATATCCTCTTTATTTAAATAATTTGCTAGAAACAGATGGCATTGTAGAATCCCCCAACAGGATTCTGCCCTTGTTGTCTAAACAGTCTTACCCTTCCTGTGCACAAAGTCACATTCACAAACACACACACATTAAGCAGTCTCTACAAAGTGCATGGGGGTAAAACCAATCTCATTCCTTTGTGTTTCCCAACAAAGCGGCAATTGCAATGAAGCAAACGTCTCAAAAACAAGTAGCTCATGCTCAAAACGGGTCAGAAAGCATATGGCTCTGTGCTTGTAATGGTGTCCTTAATTGTAAAGCCCTGATTTAATCCTTTTCATGGGTGCACAGGTATTCTAGTCATTGTTTATAGTGTTAGATTACCAATGAATTGTTTTGATAAAAACCAAAGATTATGAACCATTACATAAACATCTAAATAGTATACATACTGACTGAGTCACCACGGCCCGTTGCAAGAATACGTCACCAAATGTCTGGGTTGCCAGTCACTCAAAACTGTTACCATTTTCGGACAACTTTCATGATGTGCCATGTGTTGTTGAAACATCCTGTTCAAGGGTTTCTGCAGCTGTGGCTGATTCTCCTGTTCATCAGTTTGTACCCCCAGTTCCTACCCATTCATTTCATCCCAGCCTTTTTTACATTGTGTCTATTTACAAACCATTTCATAGCTGTTTCCTTTGGTTATGTATTACAATATTCACTGTGCTAGCGATACAAAAATCTCATGTAATATTTTACATACACCTTATTTCCATTGACAGATGGTTCATGTCCGTGTTGGGTTTGATCGACTCTCATGGAAATTATGATCCCCATTTCAAACAAAGCAAACTCCTGCTTGTTGATACTGTCTTGCAATTCCTTACAATACACTTAAGTGGATTATAAGAAGCTCTTGTGAGTCACTAGGCAGGTAGGAACTGAAGCATGATTTTAAAATGTCTTATAGCCAAAGTTCCTTTTTCAGACCTGGAAAAAAAATCAGGTAGTATTCAAATGGAAGGGTGCAAAATAACATGGGGGAAACTTGGACACACTTTGACTTTTAGTTCTTTAAAAGTCTTTATTCTTTCTCTTTTTTTCCTAACTGTACAAATATCTACAAAGTAAGGAGTTTTTCCATTGTAAGTGAATATGTCACATACTGTAACTATTCTTGTCTTTGGAAGAGAACCAGGGTAAAGTAGAAATTGTTTCACTGTCAGTTTAAACCTAAACAGGTACAGTTTGTAGTTCTTGTATGTAAATGAAAACATTAACTATCAAGCACAAAATTCTCAAAGTTAGGAATCAGAATGAGTCATGCTTCTCTTGCTGTTTGCCACTGAATAAAATGGGTTGAAATACTCAAGAAAAAAAGACAACCTCTTAAGTAAATATTCTGGAGGAAAGATTTGCAAAGACCTGGACATTTCAGGCTTGGAGTGATTTAAATCTCAGTGGAAACATGCAAAAAAGTCTGCATGCAAATCTAAACACATCTTGATTTCAGGGCCTGGAGTCTATTAAAAATATTTTGCAGGCCTATTATCACTTGTCCATCTCATTAAAGAAAAACCTTTGGTCAGACAAAAAGCTTAGAATCGAATCAAATTTGATGTGAACATATACAAGGCGGGTTTGGATTCATTGTTTCATTAATTTACCATGAAAATGTGCTGTCCTGTGCATTTTTAGGCTATAACTTTACTGCACAGTGAAACTTCAGTGATTTTTCAGAACGACTTGCAGTACTCCCTTGTTTCTGTGTGGATCGTAAAGTATTCCATCCATTTTCTCCATAAAATCCTGACTCTACTGTAACCTGCTTTTGACTAAAGTGGCTTTAAATCGGTTCTAAACCCAGCAGCTGTACTGGTAAAGGTAGAGCAGAAAATAATTTAGCAGACTGTGTGATGTCGAACGTGCCTACATCTTTTCGTGCTTGGAGTTGGAACATTTATGTGTAGAGTAAAAAATAGAATGGGTTCATTGTAGTGAAATTAAATTGATCTCTCTTGAGATTTCAACCAACCTCCTCAACCCCCACCAACACACACACACACACAGATATACACAGGGTACACAGGGTCTGTAGAAATAGAACACGTGTATGTAGTATTCATAATGTAGAGGAAACATTGTTTTAAGTGGTTTGCTGGAGTAAAAGTCACGGTCGAGTAGAAATAGAGTAGTAGTAAGTATCCAGATCTCGTAATGCAGCTGGAAATATAACTGTAGTCCACTTTGTAAACCACAATTTCCTATTTCCTGCTACTTATTGTTGATCTATCCTTTAAAATGGACTTAAAACAAAGTTTGTGGTTGTGTATGTAACAAAATACATAAAGGTTCAGGGTTATTGGTTAATTTTCAAGGCACTATCACAGTGTATCACAGTGTGTAGCTTAAATGCATAGAATGTCTCAGAGGCAATAAAGTGAATTGCCTGTCATGTGAATGATGAAGCAGGCCCACAGCAGCTTGAAGCATCGCCTCATTTATGTGATGTTGTGTGAGTTTCACAGTGGTGGACATGGGTGGTTTGTCCTTCAACTGGGGACCGTTTTGGAGATGTTGTCCGTGCCACTTTCCATCTCTCGCTGTTTTCAACTCTCTCTGCGCTGCCCCTGTCAAAAAGCATCTTTTCAATCTTCATCCCCCCACTTCTCTGTTTCTGTCTCTGTACAGTGCTGTTGTGATGGATCACCTTACCGACGAGAGAGAAGACGGGCAAAACAGCAAAGTAATCTGTAACAGAAAATGTAGTATGGAAGAAGAGACTGTAAACTGGAAGAGGAGAAAAGAAGATATGCAAAAAATAATATTGAGTTCATTTGGGCTATTTTGCTTGAGGATGTTTCTGTTTCGTTCCCGAGAAATGCTCAGCTCTGACAGTAAAGTCTGCCAGCAGCTATCAATAAGGGCACATTTGTCTTTTCACATTATGTCACGGACTCAGACAGGCTCCAATCTTCTGCCAAACAGCTATCATCTTTTCACATCGGCTTTACCCCACTCGAGCACCATGACCGAGCGTGCTGGTCCAAAGCTCGCTGGTGTGCAGCCAGCTTACTGAAGCGAGCCCTCCGAGTGGTGAGGGAGGCTCCTGTCTTTAGCTATTCTCCTCACATTCACCTTGCAGTCCCAATTATTCAAGGCGGCACGCATGCATGAGCGCAGCCTGCCAGGCCCAGCTGTGAAAAGTGGGTCATGGAATTTAAAGGCACAAGCAGCCCAGTTTCAGCGCTTGATTGTGACGGCACCAGTCTGGCACCGATCTGTGACGGCATCAGTCTCACCACCCCGTAACATTCAGCAGCGTGTTTGTGTGCAGGTGAAAGACCCTGTCTGTTTCGCAGAAAGTTTTCTTCTTAAAAAATAAATTGGTAAAGATGCAAAACCACCACTTTCACATTCTCTTGGTGGGAAAATAAGTGGCCACATTTTAACATTCTATAAACTGTACTTCTGTTTTGGTCTCTCTTGAACATAAGGCTTCAATGAACATTTCTACCCAGCAACAGGGTACAGTAGGCCAGTAGGCTAGCCCATATGGGGGGTAGATGCCTCACTGAGGAAAGCTAATCATGCACACACTGAGCAATAACGTCATACCCTGATGAGTTCTTTGCGGAACCAGACAGCGTATGGGGGTGTCCTACTAATCTACTGCCAACTATAAAGATGTAATATGCTCCTCGACACACTCATGTGGAAGAATATCCCACATGAGCTGCAAAGCTGCAAATGGACACATAATGAATATTTGTGAGTACAGTAGTCTGACATTTATACCTTTTAATATAAATAAATACTAACATGCCAGAATCGCATTCCTCTGTAAGAAAATTGCACACACAGGAATTTGTTTTTCAAACAATACACAAGTATTCTGCTTTTTTTAAATTTATTTTTATTATCAGCAAAAAACAAACCACACACCACATTACATTTTATAAACAGGAATACTCATTGTGGATGTACGAAATAAAAGTTCAGCTTAAAACCTGAATAGGTTATTCCTAGCATCAGTGATAAAAGCAACAGCATTAATCATTGTAAATGTATAAAAAGGAAAGTTTTTAATTTATCAAATAATAATAATAAAAAAACACAACTTTGGGCAAAAAATATTTCACCTCAACATGCTACTTTAAAAATTCATGCAAATGTAAAGCTTTCTAAAACAGTCACTTTCAAAACACTCTCCACATGAAATCCAATAACTTAGAAAATATCAGCCTCTTGTCCCTGAACTGATCCTTGAGAGAAAATAGTTTAAATAACCTCAACAAAAACCCAAAATGCATCCCAATTTCCATTAATGGCTTCATCTGGCAAACATACGATCTTTGTTACATGTTATAGCCTTAACTGGGCAAGTACCCACTGAGAAAAAAAAAAAAAGAAAAGATAAAATCCAGTTTTCAAACAGACATGTTTCTTTCAAACACATTTCTCTGGCATCATTCATCAGTGAAAACGCTTTTTTTTTATACACAACTAAATTCTGGGAAGAACATCAAAATCAGCACCATTTAAATTTTTCCTGGATTCTTTCCAACGTGACACTCACGTTGACTCCACAGTAATTGATCTACAAAGTCATACATCTTAGGCAAGTCAAAAAAAGATGCTTTTTTTTGCTTAAATATAAGGTTATATTATACTCTCTATGAATCTCTGATTTAGCATGCATTTGGGTGTCTCTCTTATGCTTTAATCCAACATTGTTCTGCTTTTTTCTTTAGAAGTTGATGGATCCAGTGGCAGGTGTAAGCCTGCCCTGATCTAACTGGTACAACTACTTTGCAAATTACTGAGCCCAAAGCCATAAAGCATGATTGTATCAGAGTCTACAGGTTTGTTGGTGTTGTTGGTGTAATAAAAGGCCACCATCATTAATTGATACCTTCACCCATTCTTTTAAACCCGGTAATATGCAGTTGCAACATTCTCTGCAAAATGCAAAGGTTTAAACGCCTTAAAGTTTGTATTGACTTAGTTATAACCTAAAAAACAGTCTGGTTTAAAATTCAGTGTGAGATTTATGATTCGTGACATATGATGTTTTGGATGTGATACGTTTGGCACACCCTCAATTACAGAACATGGCTTATTGGAGTGTTGCCTTTCAAATGGATCTAAAAAGTTACAACGCCTTTGTTTGAATGGGAAATTTTTTGGGATGCTTAAACTTTTCCACTTTTAATATGACCTTTAAGCATCTCAATAAAAATTTACAACTTTAGTATTGTGGGAAAATTGTGGTGTTAATCAAAGTGGCTCTGATTAACACTAAATACAATTCCACAACTGTAGTGGGTTTTTCCATGTCAGAGAGAAAGCCATGGTTTGCGTAGAGCTTTTAAATCATCAGAAGGATCTCAATGTCAAAAAGAGTCAATCACAAGAACACAAAATACAATTTCACAATTTTGAATTGCAGTCTGCAAACTTTGCCAGGTCTTGATGCATGAGGGTGGTGTGATAATAAAATCCAAAGGAGTTGCGACAAAGCATTACCTTGTGGATGTGCAACCACATTATTGTTTTTTTGGGGGGCGGGGGGGTTTAAACCCAAAAATTGTAGTCACTTTTAACATTTCGATAGTGTGAACTCTTTACAACCAATCTACTGCTTCAGAGTTTGACCTCACGACATTTACTCTTCAGCTGTCGGTAGCTGAGGCTTGCTGCTGACAAAATTGGAACTCATCCTGAATGTCCTTAAAGGCAACATTGTCCATTATCAGAAAATTCATGTTAGCAGAGGTAAATGAAGCCAATGAGAATAACCTTCAATGTTGGAGCATAAATGGTCACATCAGCCCGCAGACGGAGCACAAAGAACACGATCGATGAAAGGCTGCCAATCATACAGGTTTTTGTAGTCTCGAACAGAGAACTGCAACACCCATCATGCCTTGCTGAGATGAAAAGTACAACATTAAATAACTAGCAAAAATATTGGTAATGTTTCGTTAAATATATCGCCACTCCATTAAGAGGTTTTACATAAAACAAAAGAGTGAATAGATTCGTAATGTATAATTATAATGCGCTTAAAAATCAAAAGAACAGCTCTCCTTCACATGTGATAGCACTGACATGATGTGGACAAAAAACTGACGAGAAAAAACAGCTGAAAACAACTTTTGACTCAAGAACAATAAATAACCACTTTTTTTGACGTAACAACAGACACTCCAGTAAAAGAAGAAAAAACTTATAATGAAGAATTGTGTTTTTATGGAGCTTCAGCTGATTGTGCACCTATAGTAAATATTTTTTTTACCACCTCCCTTGATTAATTTTGTCCTTGTTTTGTTTTGAAGGTTGTTTTTTTTATTCTTTGGAAGGTTGGTCTTAAAAATGTGTGAACTGAACATGTAGATTTAGGTGGTGATATTTTTGTTATAAATATACTCACAGTCCAGGAACATTCCTGGTCTTGACATTTTATCCTTCGCTCAAAACACACACTGTTTTTTCGTTCTTTTTTTTTTTGCGTAAGTAACTGTCAACAGTTATGTTATCATGACTTGTAATCCTCTGTGCTTTAAAATGAATGACGGGTGCCAGATTATGGATATTGTGGTGAATGTTGGCAGATTACGGGGTGTTTCCTAGAGGTTTGATAAACAATTCTGTATTACGACACTTTATGTTGGGTGAGTAAAGTAGGTGAAGCTGTAGTGACATAGTTTATGGTTGGTAGATACTGGACAAGTAAGCCATTATAGGCCCTTCTTGGTTGGAGCGCTGAGTTTCCTCATCCCCCTTATCCTGCACAGCAACTCACTGACAAAGTTCTGAAGAAGAAAAGTAAAACAAAGTTAGACTGTTCAGAAATACACATTAAATTCAGTGAAGGAGTCATTTAAATGCCTTCCTGAAAATTTATTTTTTGAGTCTTCAACCTTTGTTCAGTGCTGGTTGGACTTCGCAAAGCTATTCCTCATTTCAATGAGTAGATAACGGCCAAATTTCCCAAAATAAGTAGCTTAAAGTCATTTTCAGATGCACAAGAATCAACACTTTAATGGACTACAAAGGTAGACAAGCTAAATGAGCTAAAATCATTTCAGATTAAAACACACTAGTACATTTAATTATTTAATTTAATTGATCAAACATTGTAAAGATTATTGTGACACGCACTCTCAGAATCAAGCAAGAGGTTATGTCAAGGTCTGGTTTCAGTGTTAACTACCTTATTATACAGGACAGTGCTCACGATCCAATTCCAGATGTCTCCCCCTTCCTATCTGCATTCATCTTTTACCCAGCAGGTGTTTTTTCATTTAACCCGAACAACCCACTCTGCCTCATCACTCCCCCTCTCACCTCATGTCTTTAATCTCCTGTTATCTTCCCCACTCTGCCTTCAAGAAGCAATCTCACAGTCCTTTCACCTTTCGTTCACATTCATCTTGTATATCAATTACCCCCTGTCTTTCACTTCTTATTTCCACTTGGCTGAGAGGAAGGGTATCTGTGTGCACCATTTTTATTCCTGAGAGTGGGTAGGTACAGCCGAAATGTTACGAAAAACACATTTAAACAAAGTCCAAATGGGTACAGAATTGTTTTGAGCATCAAACATTGGTTTTAGGGTTCCGTAAAGCTAAATATAATTAATAGGTATTTAAAAAAAATTAGTACTGTTATGGAGTTATGTAGTTGAAGGTGTATAGGTTGCATAGCTCAACAACTGTTACTGTAGCTAAACAGCAATGACCTTGTAATAAAACCACACACAGTGACGATGACAGATGGGGGAAAATTTGCCATGTGTGGAATTAATGTGATTGGTTTTTAAAAACTTTAATCATGCAAATAGCCTCATGCAACCTCATCTAAAACCAGACTCTTATCTCTCTGAACACGTCAGTATGTATACTGCAAGTAATGAATATTATGAATTCCTACATCAGGTAGCTTATTTGTGCTTGTGCACGCATAGTTAATTAGGTATTCATTAGCATACTAGAACATGGTGAGTGCAGGCTTTGCCTCTAATGGTTTTTGTGCTCCAAAGAAGCTCACCTCTGTGGGTTTGAAGCAGTCTGTTAACGATTCCTGTGAAAAGAAGAGGGGGAAACAGTTGTTAGGAGGAAATTATTTACCGCTGTTTTTAAAACCTCAGCAGATTCTGCACTTCTAACTCTTATTGACAGAAACTCACATTCTCCATTGGTTGTTGGAGTCTAGCCTTCATTCAGATGAGCATATATGTATTTAATTAAATGTTCAAAAGGTTCTGAGATTTTACGAATAAATTGCTAATTAGCAGACTTGAGGAACGTTCACAAGTCATGTCTCTCAAATTAAGTGTCAAGTCTTTAGGACCTGAAGGAAGCATGCTCTCATCAAATGCAGGGCAGCTAATCTGCCAATAATAAATAAATTTCAGACTTTGCTTAGACAAGAAAGCAAAGTTTACACAAAGCCTTACACAGCAACTCTTGAAACAAACTAATAATATCCAAGTTTTACCTATGGGTATTTAATTTATTACAACATGTTTATTTTTACCAATTGCCTTTATATTCACATGATATTAACAGTTATATCTTTACTGAATACCCAGACTGCTTAAGAACCAATCAACCACCACATCTCTATCAAGGATTTCTCATTCGCTCTGTGACCAATCATCTCTGCGAAAGACTTGTAGATACACACAACCACATACACACATATAAACACACATTTACCTGTAGTTTGCTGGCTCTCTCATCATCACTGTTGACCTCCAACAAGTCATCAATGTCAATCTCTACCTCTGGCATCTCGTCCTCCTGAAACACAAAATAACCCTTTGTTAGAGAACAGATGGAAATGCTTTAAATGTGCAAACAAGATAAGAAAGTAGAATATTTAATTTAAAAAAATGCAACTGGAATATTTGTGTTGGCAAGAGGCTTATAAACACCCAAACCACTCTGTGTGCCTGCCTGCTAGGGACATACATCATTTGGAAATGTCATTGTGCCGGGGTTGGGCCGTTTAGCGGCTCAGTGGTTGGAGGCTGCTTTCAGCTCAACACCACATCAAAGCTCCAATGCTTCATTTTATTTCGCCACAAGGTTTTTGCAGAGGAAGCAAGCAGGGAGGATAAACCTTTCCCCCAGACACCGCATGACGTGTTCTACAAATGCTGTCCTTTTGGGAAGCATTGAGCTAAGGCTCTTAAAGGAACTGAGCCTGGGAATCCAGTTGTTTTTTCACCTTTGTTTGCTTGACATTTACAACAAACACTTAAGCATCTGCTGCTGTCAAACAAGTCAGTGGAGATATTTGATCACCTTCTGCTATCTTCCAAGTGGGTGGTCAGGTTTTTGTGAGCAACCCAGGCAAAACTCTCTGGGGTTATTTTTGCACATTGTTCTTTACTTGTGGTTTACTTGTAGGTTTTGTTTCATTACTTTGAAACAAAACCTCTGCTCAGAATATGCTCAACTTGCTGAAACCGTTTTAATCCGTTTCCTCTTTGAAGATTTACTGACTATTTTTGTTTGTTTTTTGTTTGCAACTTTTTCAAATGCTCTTTTTTTTTCTTTAAATTTGATGTGAACATATTCAAGATATGTCTTTTTTTCTATTCTGCCATTTGACATTTAAATCCATTTTGCCAAAAATAATAAAAAAAAGTTTTTTTAAGCCAGAAGGCCATATTTCTGTCTTTGTTTCACAAAGATTAAAATGAATCTCCTTACTGACGCCAAGGAGGTTCAATCTAACGTACAGCGGCACGGAAATGTTGCTCACAGCTACTTGCGAACCATCGTTTCATAACAATGCCTGTGAGATAATTTCTCATCTCTACTCTAACACAGCAACAGGAATGTTATCCAGGGCTCATGTGTATGTGTGTGTGTGTCTTTCATATAGCCAGGAGCACAGCATGGTATTAAGACAAAGAGCATTAAAGCAGGGATGATATTAGCTCCCAGAAATGTAGTCAGTCGGCTTCGTTCTGTGTGGGCAGGATAATAAGAACACACTGAAATCAGTGCAAATCATAACCATTCAAGTAACAATGCAAAAAAACATGCATTCTTAAAGTCTAATGCTAAAATCTTCCAAATGCAAATTAATATGACAGAACTGTTGATGGGAAAAGAAGTAAGCCTGTGGAGCAAATCTCCATAAAACTTGGGTTTGATGGTTAATAGATTAAATATCAGTTGAAACCAGATTTTTGCGTACACTGTATTATTATTTTTTTTTTGCCACTGTCTGACATAAAATTCCCTAGTCTTTGTCTAAAATTATTTGCTTGCTCAATGCCAGATGAATAAGAGTAGATTTTGTTTTTGCATTTTTATATGATTTAATCTTTATATTCTGAAGTTTACTTATGTTTTCTTAGTACTTGGTAGATTTAACTTTTAAAACATGTTGGATATCCTTTGGCAAGCTTCTCACAGTAGTTTGCTGGAATGTTGGATCATTCCTCCAGGTGAGCTGCTTTGGATCCCACCTTCCTCACATAAAACTTTTCAGCTTTGAGACAAAAGGAGGCTTTTCACCACTTCAGAATATTTACTTTATTGTCCTTAGATCTATTCTGGCTACTAGGGTTTGACCCTTTGGTAGACTTATTTAGACACACGTTATTGTCTGATGTTTTTCCATGTTTCCATATACTGATTTCAAAGTTGCACAAGTGTACTACTTATACCAAACAGCAGCTATTGGTGTTAAATGACTTAACTATAGTCTCAGTCAAGACAAATGAAGCAAAGTGATGTAATGTAGAAAAATAAAAAACTCTGCCCTTGTAACCGACTTTGGTCTGAACATTTAAGTTAACATTACACAAAACTATTTCCATTCATAGTTCAGGTCTTTGAGAAGCAATCAGGGAAGATCTTAAACTAAATCTTCTCATAGGTTTTTATTTGAATGAAGCTCTGAACTTCTACTGGTTCAATTTCTGACCAGAAGGTGAACGTTTACCCCAGTCAGAAGTGTTCTAACAGGTTTCCTTCCAGGATTGCCCTCCTGCTATCTTTCTGTCAACTCAGTCCATTATCTAAATCCGACAGATGACCTAAAGTGAATTGATGACTCCACAAAGTTTGTCCCTTGGAGTTTGAGGACAGGAAGCAAAGGTCAGTCCCCTCAGTCTTTCTCTCTATCTGTCTGTGGGGTCATCACTCACTCACTAACTTCTGTGAGAGTCTGATTGTTTCACTTGTCAGCAGGCAGTCCATCACCCTACATCCCTGTGAATGGTGATGACATCACACATGGCTGGAGTGTGAAGCATGACCGTGAGCAATTGCCAGGCTACATAAAAAATCTTGATATTAAAAGAAGCTGTCACAGGAAGACATTGCACATATTTAGTCCTTCACAGTGGAGTGTGAGTAATTATATTAGTCTGAATCCATGCAACTACTCCCAATTAGATTATTTTCAGTGCCTGCAGCAGGGAAAGTTAATAGTAACTGCAGACAACACAAGTAAATCATCTATGCAAACATTTTAAAATAAAGAAGCAATTGCTAAAAGTGCACTTAAATCCTTATTTGCTACACGTAGAAGTAGCAGTTGGTTATTATTATTATTATATTTTTTTTAATTTTTTTTTTTTTTGCATTTGCATTTGCAAATGAGAGAAATAATGATGAAAGACATGGTGTGTTCAGAGGATATGGGCACAAGGAGCAGTGTTTTTTGTAATCAAGGCAACTTTGTGAAGACTGTGCGCGAGAACCAGCTATGAACTGAAAGCCCGATAGAAAAACACAAAGCTGGACTGTGAGCCTGGCAATGTGTGCAGACAGCTGAGAGCTCATCTGTGTCAGGCTTGTTTTCACCGTCAGCTCAGCAGCCGGCAGCGTTTTCATTCTGGTGAATCTAAGCTAATGCGAGAAGCCCAACCCTGTGAGTCAACACAAACTCCATTTAGACCTTATTCAAACAGTGTCTCTGAACAAAGGTGTGAGCAATTGCTTTACTTGAATGAATGATTCACTGACATCCCTATTCATAACCCTCTTATGTGAACCAGACAGGCCGGTTTCATATAATTGCAGTTCTAAAATAGATGGTTATCCACAAGCTAATAAAGTCTTGTTGATGGTTTCAGTTCATCAATATCCCCAGGTCAAATGGACTGTCTATTTCATCAGCTTATTAAAAATTATGTTTGGGTTCAGGTGTTTACAGATTCGCCTACGTAGTTGTTATATGAGCAAATGTTGTTTCTCACTGTGGATTCAGTGTAGAAGTAGACTTCTAGAGTGTCCTCTTGTCTTCTCTTTCTGCTTCTTTACATTTTCACTTTCAACCCCACGCCACTCCCTTTCTTCTTCTGAAAATGGTTGCTCTGTCGCACACACTCTCAGAAAAAAAAAAAAAACATAGAAGTTTGTGGCTCTGACTTTACAAATATGAAAGTTCAAGAGGCACGAATACCCTTTTCACCTCACTGAAGCTGAAAGGCAAGAAAAAAAGGAAGAGAATGTGGTCCAAAAGAAGCAAACATAAGGAATCTAATATTAAATCCTAAAATTGTGATTGGTACAGAACACACAGAGAAGCAAAACAACAGTTGGTAAAAGCTACAAGATTAACTACAATAAGAAAGACATACAACTCAGATGCAGAGAGATGAAGCGAGCACCGATAAGTGGGTCATTGTGATGATGATGATGAGGCGAAGGAAGAGGAGGATTGTGCAACACTAAAATCTCCCAGCTCAGCTTTCTTCCTCTATATTCTGCCACACTGTGTCACATCAAAGTGCCGGGGAGCTCAAGGTGGGCTGAAATCATCCCCTGAAATTAAGTTATTAAGGGTGGAGGAAGTAAAAACACAGAGAATTGACAGTGTGTGATGGGAAAATGACTGTCACTGTAATTTTGAATGGGAAAGATTCAAAATGAGGGAAATAGACAAACAATAGAAGGAGTTCAGAAGAGAAGAGAGACTTTGCCAAGGTTACTGTTAAGGCCCTTGTGGATTACGTGGCTCTTGGCCCTCCCCCACTTTCAAACACCTCCCTGTTGTCGTTTGGTGCAGCAGTTTGCTGAAACCATAGAGCACGAAGGATGTGACTTTACTGGGTGATGCTAGCAGCTGCAGTCACAGCTCTTTCTCATGCTGATTCAGCTACTCCAGAGGACACTACATCAAATAGGAGAACTGCTAGAAAACAGAGGATTGGGACAGAAAAATCCTAAAATTAACATTGAACATACAATTAATTAGCATGACAGTGACCCTCTAAACTTCTGCATGCATAAAATTAAAAACATTTACCCTGACTGTAAACTATTAGTGTAGTAATACCACTGTTTTCAAGTGGATCTCTAATATTATCTTTAACATAAAGCATTTCTGTTTTGTGTGCTGTGGCTGACATTTATATACACTATTTCATAAAGTTCCTACTGTCTGCCATCAACTTAGACTGCTTAGTCAGTCAGTCACTGGTTGAGATAAAGCTGCCAACAATTAAACCATTTCTCTCTCCAACTTTTTATTTTTTATCAGAATAGAAAGTACGTCTATGTCAGTTCTTTTGTTTCAAACTTCCAGTCAGTTGAGATGGCCGAGGCAGGTTCTTCCTGTGTATGGGGAGATTTTACTTTCCACTGTCTCTGTGTGCTTGCTCAGTATGAGGAATTTATGTAAAGTCAATGCAAGTGATTTTCTACTGTCATTCCGTGCTGAAAGACAGTATGGCTTGTTACACTAATTTCAATAATGAACTGACCTTAATGAACTTTGTTAAGTAGGATCAGTTGGAATGGACACGTTTTTGAATTGAAATGGCATTTTT